TGTAGGACTTGTGTAGGCAATGATAAGGAAATCAAAATTTCTTTTCTTTTTTTTTTTTTAGGTCTTATTGTGTTGCCCTGGCTAGGGTGCAGTGGCCTCATCATAAATCACTCAACCTCAAATCCTGGCGTTAAAGCAATCTTCCTGTGTCCAGCTCCCAATAGCCTGGCTATTTTTGTTTTTTTTATTTTTTATTTATTTTTTTTTTTGAGACAAGAGTCTGCACTTATTGTTGCCTCGGCTAGAGTGAGTGCATAGCGTCAAGCTAGCTCACAGCAACCTCCAAACTCCTGCGGTCAAGCGATCCTCCTGCCTCAGCCCTCCCAAAGCTGGGACTACAGGATGTGCCACCATGCCGGTAATTTTTTGTAATATATTTTTAGTTGGTCAATTAATTCTTTCTATTTTTCTAGTACGAGACGGTCGCCTCCGACATTCAGGATGTTATCTCCAAAACTCCCAAAACCTCGAGCAATCCGCTGCTCGGCCTCCCAGGTGCTAGGAGTTACAGGCGTGACCACCGCGCCGGCCTTTTATTTTTGTAGAGATAAGGTCTCACTGTTGCTGAGGCTAGTCTCAAACTCCAGGGCTCAAGTGATTCTTCTGCCTTGGTCTCCTCAAATGCTGGGATAACAGGCGTGAGCCACTCGGTTTGGCCTAAAATTTCTTCTAAGAGCAATAGCAAGCTATTCAAGGAGAGTGACCTGATCTGATTTACTATTTTTTTTTTGAGATAGAGTCTTGCTCTGTCCCTCAGGGTAGAGATCCATGGTGTCAACCTAGCACACAACAACTTCAAACTCCTGGTCAAGAATCTACTGCCTCAAGCTCGAAGGAGCTAAGACTACAGGCGCATGCCCCCATGCCTGGCTGTTTTTTTTAAATTTTTAGTAGATAGGCGTCTCACTCTTGCTCAGGCTGGTCTGGAACTCCTGAATTCAAGCTATCTGCCCTCCCTTCCTTCCCCTGCTGGACCTCCCAGAGTGCTAGGATTACAGGTGTGACCCACTGTGCTAGCCTGATTTACATTTTTTTTTGAACAGTAGTCTCGCTTGTTGCCCAGGCTAGATGAGTGCCATGCGTCAGCCTAGCTCACAGCAAACTCAAATCCTGGGCTCAAGCAATCCTTCTGCCTCAGCCTCCCGAGTAGTGGACTACAGATGCACCACAGTGCCCGGCAATTATATATACTATATATATATGCCAATTATTCTTTCTATTTTATAGTAGAGACGGGGTCTTGGCTCTCGCTCAGGCTGGTTTCGATATCCTATCTCCAGTCATATCCGCCCGCTCAGCCTCCCAGAGTGGCTAGGATTACAAAAGGGGGGGGGGGGCCCATGGCGCTATCGCGCCTGGCTCTGATTTACATTTAAATATGTTTTGTTTGGTAGAGTTAAACAAGACCAGAAGCTATGCCATAGTATAGAGAAAGGTATATGGTGTCAGACTTGGATTAAAGATTGAAAGAAGTAGATGATTAAAAATGGTGCTTCGGAGGGCTGAGCAGAGGATTCTTGAGCCCATGGTTTTGAGGTTCAGTGATTATGATGATGCGTTGCACTCTAGCCTAGGCAAACAGAGAGAGCATTGTCTCAAAATATATTGATATATGTGTCTCCCTGATTCCTCAAAGCAGAACTTTGTCTTTTGTCCCAAGACTTATACAAAGCTTGCAATCATAGGTGTTCAGTGAATATTGGTTTAATAGTGAATGTTCAGAATGTAGTGGAATGGGTTTTGAAGCTCTCGCTTGGCTGTAAAGGCACTCTGGAGGAGATCTTCCTTCCAATCTATGTTACCAATGTCCATGAGACTGTGTTAGCCATTGCTAGCAGGAGCTTGGTAATGCTATTTATTCTTAATCTCCAGTTCCTTATGGGTGAACTAATCATATCCTCATCTTACATTTAATCTTAAGAGGATACATGATTTGCTCTAGGTAGAATGCCGTGGCATCAGCCTAGCTCACAGCAACCTCAAACTCCTGGGCTCAAGCAATCCTTCTGCCTCAGCCTCCTGAGTAGCTGGGACTACAGTTATGTGCTGCCATGCCAGGCTTATTTTTTTCCATATATCTTTAGTTGGCCAATTATTTTTGGTAGAGACAGGGTCTTCCTCTTGCTTAGGCTGGTCTCAAACTCCTGACCTTGAGCTATCTTCCTGACTTGGCCTCCTAGAAAGTTAGGATTACAGGCGTGAGCCACCGTGCCCAGCCTTAAGTAGACATGTTTTGACTGAGTTATTTTTTTCCAGTTATGATTATAATATGATTGCTTTATTCATTTGTTTAATAAATTCATTTTGGACACCCAGTATGAGTCAGACATTGTATGCATTGGGGATTTAGCCTAAACAAGACAGAAAAGGTCACATGGAGCCTATATATATATATATTTAGAAGGGGGTAAGAGTATAAAATAAGTAAATAATAATTGTAGATTTTGATAAGTATAATGGAAGAAATAAACAAGGGGAAGCTAATTTTAATTGGGTGGTCAGACTGGCCCCTTTGGGGAGGTAACATTTGAGATGGGACCAAAAGCAGCAGTCCTCAACCTTTTTGGCACCAGGGACCAGTTTCATAAAAGACAATTTTTCCACAGACATGGTGGGGTGGGGAGGTGGAGCTCAGGCGGTGATGCCGGCGATGGAGAACGGCTGTAAATACAGAAGAAATTTCCCTCCCTGTTCACCTCCTGCTGTGCCACCCAGTTCCTAAGTTTCATGGAAGACAATTTTTTTCATGGATGGGGTTGGGAGATGGGAGGCCGAGCTCCGGCCGTGATGCCTGCCCTGGTTCCTAACAGGCCACAGACGGGTACCAGGCCATGGCCTAGGGGTTGGGGACCACCAACCTAAACGATGAATAGGAGCTAATAATTCAGAGTATTGGAAGAGAAGCTTTCTAAGCAGTAAGGTGGCAAATGTAATGGCCCCTTAATGTGAGAAAGGACTTGGGCATTCTGAAGAGCAGAAAGGAAACCAGTGTGATTAGAGTATGGCAAATGAAGGGGAGTAGTATGAGATGAATTTGAAGAGGTAGATTGGTAGATTAGAAACAAATCTTGTAGGACTTTGTAGGCAATGATAAGGAAATCAAAATTTCTTTCTTTTATTTTTAGGTCTTATTGTGTTGCCCTGGCTAGGGTGCAGTGGCCTCATCATAAATCACTGCAACCTCAAACTCCTGGGGTTAAAGCAATCTTCCTGTGTCAGCCTCCCAAATAGCCTGGCTAATTTTTTTTATTTTTTTATTTTTTGTTATTATTTTTTTTTGAGACAGAGTCTCACTTTTGTTGCCCAGGCTAGAGTGAGTGCCATAGCGTCAGCCTAGCTCACAGCAACCTCAAACTCCTGGGCTCAAGCGATCCTCCTGCCTCAGCCTCCCAAGTAGCTGGGACTACAGGCATGCACCACAGTGCCCGGCTAATTTTATATATATATATATTAGTTGGCCAATTAATTTCTTTCTATTTATAGTAGAGACGGGGTCTTGCTCTCGCTCAGGCTGGTTTCGAACTCCTGACCTCCAGCAATCCGCCCGCCTCAGCCTCCCAGAGTGCTAGGATTACAGGCATGGGCTATCGCGCCTGGCTCTGATTTACATTTAAAAAATGTTTTTTGGGTAGAGTTAAACAGAGACCAGAGGCTATGCAGTAGTATAGAGAAGAGGTAATGGTGTCTAGACTTGGATTAAAGATTGAAAGAAGTAGATAGATTTAAAATATGGTGCTTCGGAGGCTGAGGCAGGAGGATTGCTTGAGCCCAGGAGTTTGAGGTTGCAGTGAGTTATGATGATGCCGTTGCACTCTAGCCTAGGCAACAGAGAGAGACATTGTCTCAAAAATATATATATATGTTCTCCCTGGATTCCTCAAAGGCAGAGACTTTGTCTTTTGTCCCCAAGACTTAGTACAAAGCCTTGCACATCATAGGTGTTCAGTGAATATTGGTTTAATAGGTGAATGGTTCAGACAAGTAAGTGGAATGGGTTTCTGCAAGCTCTCGCCTTGGCTGTAAGGACTCTGGAGAGATCTTCCCTTTCCAATCTTTGGTTACCATGTCATGAGACTGTGGTAGCCATTGCTTAGCAGGAGCCAGGCACAATGCTAATTATCTCTAATTCTCCCAGTATCCTTATGAGGTGGATACTAATATTATCCTCATCTTACATTTAATCTTAAGAGATTACATGATTTGGCTCAGGTCACCAAGAAAATAATGGGAGACCTCATGTCTGTTTGCCCCAGGAATTGGCATTTCCAGGTCCAGCTCTGTAGCCTCAAAGATTTCAACCTGCCTGAGCCTTGTTAGATTAGAATAAGAATCCTCACCAGGAATCTTTCCTAGTCGATGTGTATAACCTGAGGGAAAATAAAAACCCCTGTTCTGATTACCATAGACTGGACCATAGTGAAAAGGAATGGATGATGCTTCAGGTGTGAGAAAGTGCAGCTTTTTCAGCCTGCCAATTATTTTTCAGTCAGCCAGTTGCAGGAAATGAGGCACATTGCTTGCCATAACGACTTGTCTTGCAACTTTCTGAGCAAGTCACACACACCTTCCCTGAACCTTGGTTTCTTTTTCTACGACATAGCGCTAGCAGAGATCTCTCTAGTAGCACTGTTGTTTAAGATTAAATAAATGGTTAAATTAAGATTAAATAAAATGGCTATAGCGTTAAAGCATCTAAGCACAGTACCCCACACGTAGTAGGCACTCAACAAATCGTAGCCAAGAGTGGACGAGAAGAGCTGGGAGCATTAATTTAGCCAGATTTGGAATCTCGGTAGGGTCTAAGGGGATGGTATGAGCTGATTGGGCCAGCCGACGGGGGCGGGTCCAGAGGGAGGAGGAGCCAGCCGTTTCCCGCCGCGGCCCTGAGCTTTGAATCAAGCGCGGTAGTTTCAGCTGTAGCCAATCCTAGAAGAGCATCTTCTTGCGTCAGTTGTTGCTGGGGGCCAGAGCCACGCATCTCTCACCGAGGTCAGTTCTAGCTGTTGCTGCTGTACCCGTACTCTGCGCTTACGTGTTCGTCCGTTAAGACTGATAGGACGGATAGAAAGTCTCAAGTCACTTTCCCTAGTATCCAGGTCGGAAGGGGATCCTCCGCTACTCGCTCCAAATATGCAGAACAGCACTGGCTTCCCTTTCTGTGGAAGCCTAAGGTTGGCGCCCTGTCAGGAGTTGTAGTATCAAGATTCCAGTTCTTACGCGACTTGGCAGAGAAACAGGAAATAGCTTTTCTCAGGTAAGGCGGGCCAGAGAGGAAAGGTACCCCGCGGAGCCATACAGCGAGGGCTGGGGGGGGATGGGCTGTCCGTGGGATACAGGGGGGGTTGAGTCCTGGCCCTTTAAACCTGAGGGGGAGGATCCGGAAGTGGATGGGCGGGGCAAAGAGCTCTGGTATATAAGAGGGCCCTAGCCGCGCGGAGTCTCCAATCTGCCATTTTCTGTCCCTGACTAAGTCTCTGGCGTCCCATATACCTTCTGTTTTCCTCACAGGCTCTATTCCACCTACTGGCTCACCACTTCAGGGGAACCATGGCCACAGACTCCACAGCCACTGCCGCCATCGCCGCGGAGCTGGTTTCTGCCAAGTAAGCAGGACGGTGGAGAGCTTGAGGCACTGGCCAGTCCTCGGGGAGGGCTGACGGACAGGGGCCCTGCGGGAGGAACAGACCGTTGGGCAGGAGGACTTGCCTCCTCAAGAATAACTGTCGCTGTTCGGGGAAGGCCTGAACACTGTAGAAGTTCCCCTCTTCCTGAGTGCCTCGCGCACCAGCAGTAACGGCGATCGGCTGGCGCCCCCTGCCCCTCTTTTCGCGGCCGCCATCTTGCCGGGGGCAGCGGCGGCTGTCTCTGTCGCCTGCCCCTCTCCTTCCTCCCCCGGCCCGGGGCTGTCGGCGGGGAGGCGGGGCCCAGGGTTAGGGTCTGCCGTCATGCCCTTACTGTCCCCATACTCTTCACGTGCCCCTCCAGTAGAGTCCCTAGATAACCCGGGAATATAACCAACAGATTTGGCGCCAAAATAAAAAAAAAATCCTGCACGAGGAAGGAGGCTGGACCTAAGGGGTCGGAGTGGGCGGGGCCTTGCGGAGGGCGGGGTCTTGCGCGCGTGCGTTCGTTTCCCTCCCTCGACTCTGGAGTAGGGGGCGGGGCCCTGAGGAGGCGGGAAATCTCCATTGTTTAGGGCTGCGACTGGAGCTAAAGCCGTGGACTTCCGCGGAGGGGCGCGGTGAGTTCTTTTCTTCTCCGCCTCCTCGCTTACTTCGTGTGCTCGGGGGATGGTTACCGCACACTACGACCCTCGAGAGCTCCTGTTTGTAGTGGGGAGGAGCGTAGTTTATTTAGACCTTGAAGGTGTTGATTGTTTCAGGGAACATTATCAGGACACAAAGCGTCTTCATTCAGCGCTTCGTGAAACTCTCTTCACTTCCCAGCAGTTTGGTTGCTAGGAGAATCGGTTGTAGCATGCACGAAGTGTAGACTGGAGGGAAAGAAGGTATGATTGTTTTGAAAGTGACACAGTGCCACCCAGGCATAAGCTATTGTTATGAATAATGGAGGGAAACGCTACATCAGTTGTAGGAAACAAGTGCTGTTTTCATACAGTAGTTCTGGTTTTCCAATTTTCCCTTATTTTTTTGGTACCTGGTTCTTTTTTTCTAGCCTTGTGCACTTTAGAAGTTAGTTGCCTTCCCTGTAAAAAGAAAGGTTGCTGTGAGGTGTTTTTTTTTTTAAATGACATTTTTATAATTGCTTTTCTATAAGCTTACATTCTCACGATGATGTTTGTAGTTACTAGAGATTTGCTTATCTCTACCTACAATACTTGCCACCTTTTGTTTCCTCTGTGTTCATGTTGTGGATTGGTTCTCATACTATCCTGAAAATCGCCTTGGAACTGGAAATAATTTTAATTTCAAGCTCTCATTACCTTTTTCCCCATTGATTGGATAGGACCAGTAGAGATTAGGCTTGGAAGTCATGCTGTACCTATTATAAAGAGTTCCTTTATTATTGTGCTTCCTAGACACCTCTATTTCATTTAGATGAATCCTCACCCCTTTCAATACTTGAAAGGTTTTGTTTTTTTTTTTTAAGAGATAAAAGTATGCTGGGGCGTGGTGCTCACCACTCCTGTAATCCTAGCACTGTGGGAGGCTGCTGATTGTTTGAGCTCAGAAGTTCAAGACCAGCCTGAGCAAGAGCGAGACCCCATCTCTACTGAAAAAAAATAGAAAGAAATTAATTGGCCAACTAATATATATAGAAAAAATTAGCCGGGCATGATGACGCATGCCTGTAGTCCCAGCTACTCAGGAGGCCGAGGCAGGAGGATTGCTTGAGCCCAGGAGTTTGAGGTTGCTGTGAGCTAGGCTGATGCCACGGCACTCACTCTAGCCTGGGCAACAAAGTGAGACTCTGTTTAAACAAAAAAACATAAAAGTATGCACCTAATAATGTCTCTTACAGATTTTCAGGTGTCTTCTTTGTATAGCCAGTTAGGTTATTAGTGAACTAGTCTCCAGCTTCTTGGTTATACACAGAAAAAGTTTATGTATATGCAGATAGAAAAACAATAAGCCATTTTAATTTTTGTTCCCATCATAAATTTATTTTTAGAGATATGATCTCTCTCAGACCCAGGCTGGAAGTGCAGTGGCACAATCATCGCTCCCTGCAGCCTTCAACTGCTGGGCTAAAGCAATCCTCCCAAGTAGCTAGGGAGTACAGATCTGTGCTACCAAGCCCAGCTCCTCCTATCATAAATTGAAAACTAAAAATGAGCAAGTATATGTACTGGGTGTTTTTTGTTGTTGTTGTTTCTTTTAATTAATTAATTAATTTTTTGAGACAGAGTCTCACTTTGTTGCCCAGGCTAGAGTGAGTGCTGTGGCGTCAGCCTAGCTCACAGCAGCCTCACACTCCTGGGCTCAAGCAATCCTTCTGCCTCAGCCTCCTGAGTAGCTGGGACTATAGGCATGCGCCACCATGCCTGGCTAGTTTTTTCTATATATATTAGTTGGCCAATTAATTTCTTTCTGTTTATAGTAGAGACGGGGTCTCACTCTTGCTCAGGCTGGTTTCGAACTCCTGACCTTGAGCAATCCACCCGCCTCAGCCTCCCAGAGTGCTAGGATTACAGGCGTTAGCCACTGTGCCTGGCCTGTTTTAATTTATTTTTTAAATTTTTGAGACAGTGCCTTTCTCTGTTGCCTGGACTAGAGTGCAGTGATGTCATTATAGGTCACTACAGCCTGAAACTCCAGGGCCCAAGCAATCCTCCTGCCTCAGCCTCCCAAGTAGCTGGGACTATAGGTGTGGATGCCATCACATCCACTAATTTTTGTATTTTTGGTAGAGACAAGGTTTCACTCTTGTTCAGGCTGGTCTCAAACTCTTGACCTCAAGCAATCCTCCCACCTCGGGCTCCCAAGGTGCTAGGATTACAGGTGTGAGCCATGATGCCCAGCCTTGTTTACTTTTTTTAAAAATAAGTATTAATTTGATCTCTCATGAGTACAGTGTGAAGTAGTTTTTATCTCTATTCTATAGGTGAGGAGGAAACTCAAGATCAGAGTTATTGGTATTATTAGAGAAATAATTTCCAGATATTAATAAGTGACAGACTGGATTAAACCTCAGCATTTCCATTTTTATTTCTTCATCATCCCATCTAATTAGTTTGAGAGAACAATGTAGGCATTGTACCTCAGTTAAGTAAGTTGGTGGGGATGTTTAGAAGTCAAGTTTCTAAGGTCCTCATGTTTATAGGTAGGATAAAGAAATAAAGAATTTAGACTGTAGATAAGAATGTATATTATAATTCCAGTATAACTACTGAAAGAATAAATATAACGTCTAAAACAGTAGAAAGAATAGATGGAATGAGAAATAAACGTCAATTCAGATTTTTTTTTTTTTTAATGTAATCAAGATGTTTGTAAGATTTTTTTTTTTAAAAGAGATGGGAGTCTTACTGTGTTGTCCAGGCTGGATTCCAACTCCTGGGCTCAAGCAATCCTGCCTCAGCCTTCTGAATAGCTGGGACTACAGGCGTATGTCACCTCATCCCGCTTAAAATTGCTTTTGATAACCAGCTTCATTGCTTAAGTAGGTGATAGTGGACCACAGTTTTATCATCTGTAAAAAAGCCTCAGTTTGACTTCTGTGTTACTATACACCATTTGAACAATATTGCTTAAGGTAATTATGATTATCTAAATGTTAAATCAGTCCTGGCATTCTTAGCTTTCTAACTAGTTCTTTCTTAACCTTTTTGTTTATATCATAAAAAATAGTGTATAGTAGTTTGTACTGCAGTGGTAGGGAGGAGGGAGGGAGAAAGCTCAATTGAAAAGAGAAATCCTATGTAATGCATTGAATTTTGGCTTAGCTGTGTTGTAATTCCTGAGCTGCTTATCTTTTGCTTTAGAAGAAAAAAATGTCAAAATAAAACTAAGTGGTTTAGCCCAATAGTCTTTGGAGTAAAATTTTGAGGCTTGGAATTTCTATTTCCACAAGTGCTTTGTTTCATCTTTGTTGGTGTGAGGTTTATGTTGGTGCTTACTATTTTGCTGTTGAAGATAATTTCCTGTGAGTTAGCTTCATGGAATTAGGAGGAATTAATGTCTTATATTTAGAATATATTGGTATGAAAGATTTAGCCAGAGTACCTGGGTACCTATGTTTTGGTGGAATGGAGGAGGAGTTAGGTCAGTATATTAGTTCAAATGTGTAAGTGGGAAAAGGATCCAATTGGTGGACCTGTGAAAAAACATACTATGTTTAGAAGATCATATGGCCGGGTGTGGTGGCTCACGCCTGGAATCCTAGCACTGTGGGAGGCCGAGGCGGGCTGATTGCTCGAGGTCAGGAGTTTGAAACCAGCCTGAGCAAGAGCGAGACCCCGTCTCTACTATAAACAGAAAAAAATTCATTGGCCAACTAATACATACAGAAAAAATTAGCGGGGCATGGTGGCGTATTCCTGTAATCCCAGCTACTCAGGAGGCTGGGGCAGAAGGGAGTTTGAGGTTGCTGTGAGCTAGGCTGATGCCATGGCACTCACTCTAGCCTGGGCAACAAAGGGAGACTCTGTCTTCAAAAAAAGATTATAGTCAATCAATTCTGAAATTAGGTGGGGAAAGGAGAGTGGGGCAGCAAAATAAATGGAATAAATGTATGTGCTGGAATTATTTCTCAATAAGATAAATATGGCCTTGTGGCACATGCCTATGAGTCCCAGCTACTCGGGAGGCTGAGGCCAGGATGCTTGAGCCAGGAGTTTGAGGTTGCTGTGAGCTAGGCTGACGCCCTGGCATTCACTCTAGCCTGGGCGACAAAGCAAGATTCTGTCTCAAAAAACAAAACAAAACAAAAAACAGTATGCTAGGCCGGCGCGTGGCGGCGAGGTGGCTCACGCCTGTAATCCTAGCACTCTGGAGGCCGAGCAGGCGGCGGATTGCTCAAGGTCAGGAGTTCAAAACCAGCCTGAGCGAGACCCCGTCTCTACCATAAAATAGAAAGAAATTAATTGGCCAACTAATATATATATATATAATAATATATATATATATATAAATCACCGAGC